CACGTATTTATGCTTATTTAAGCAAACATGAACTGTCACTGGTCGTTGTTGAGGCATAGTCAGTCAGATCAATTGATTATCGAATTTATCAGGTTTGCGAAATCTATATCTTATATGTTATCAGTTTTATGGAAAAATGTATCGATTTGCAAGTTATCAGTTTTCCCGCATATCACATATTAATATTAATGTTATATCTGTATTCATATACAATAATAACGACTTTTCATGAGTAAGAACGCAACAATCTTGAATTTATTTATTTTTTATTTTAGTAGTCTGTTAGGATACAAAAAAAATGAGCTCTACATAACTAACCCCAACAAACTACTATTACTATGACTGGGGGGGGGGCAACCACAACATTATTTTTTTATTGACCGGGGATTTCGACCGGGGGCGGTCATATTATTATTAATTTTCCGGGCGATCTATTATTAATGAAAAGTAAAGTTATATAAGTTAATGGATAGAAATAATGACTTAAAATATTGAAATAATAACTTAAAATATTGAAATAATAAATACTTTAATTTTTTGCTTTAAATATCAGCACGAGAGGCCGCCCTAAATACTCCAAGTCTTTTATATACGCCTCCAACCCCTCCCGCACCATTGTCTCTGTTGGCTGGTTCCACCCTCGTGCTGTGATGAGGTGGACGGCATGCTCCGCGACTTCTGGAAACAAGGTCACGAATACTTGCCCCAGTGTTTCGTGGCATGGCGCGTTATAAGGGACCGATTGCCTGCACCAGCCAGTGCCGTAGGTGACCGTGGCGTGTATTGGGATTTCGTGGGAGGGGTAGTGCATCTCGTCGTAGTATTCGTAATTGCTGGCGTAGTTGTAATAGTAGTTATGGTCATAGTCGATGTTGCGACGGTGGTTGTTGTTGTTGTTGTTGTCGTCGTCGTTGTCGTGGTTGTGATTGTGGTTGTGATTGTGGTTGTGATTGTGGTTGCTGTCGTTGCTGTCGTTGTTGTTGTTTTTGTTAAGCATCGGGATTTTATTAGACGACATTTTTGAGAAGAGAGGAGAGAGTTGCTCTCCTTTTATGCGCGTAATTTGAAAAAACTTTGGAAGAAATTACTGGTCAATGACTTGAGTTATGATCATGTGTTACCTTAATTTATATTATTTGTGGAAACTCATGGTCGACACATGGTAGACACATGGTGGCTACTGAAACAGGTAATTTTGATAATCCATGTGATTCCTGTGAGATTAAGGACTTGGCAAAAATTGTCATTGGGATTTTAAGTTGTACACAACACTTGCAATAGAAAACAAGTATTATTATTTGCAGTAATATGTGAGTAATAAGACTTTCGCAAAAGAAAATTTTTATTAATTAGTGACAAAATTCGTATTCGTTCATTAGCAGGATGGGAAAGCAAAAAAGATGAGTGAGGAAAATTTCCCGCGCATCATTTCATACTACAAGGTGGCAACCGAAGATGGCGGTGCAGCGATTTTCTTCGGATTAATGGGGTTTTGGATTAGTGGAGTTGCTCTATAAACCGAAGTGTATATTAATATTCAACGGGGTAAGTGCTCGACTGCCGGATCGTAAACATTGATCTTTATTCGTTTATGACACAAGCTTCAGTTTGTGAAATGACTGTTATATGGGATTGAACTTGGAGTCAAAGATTGATTAACGTATTTTTTTTACATTGATTTAACTCATGCATAAAATTCTCGTTTCTAACGGGGGTTTTCGGTTGACTTTGTATCACAAGCATAGAATTTGATCGACATGTCAATGGAGACATCGATATATCACTTGTCACATTAATGTAGTCCTTAAGGTCGAGACGTAGTTGGTTGCGAACGTCATTGCAAATCTAAATCGTAGAGGACCATGTCAGTACGTTTACATTTACATATTAATATTTCGAGTTATCGTCCTTATTATTATGTAAAAGATTCTATTGCCGCTTACAAAATGTGATCTTCACGAGTGTATAGCACAGCCACGTTTCTATTAACTCTCACGGTTGAGTGATCGAACACAGCTTTTGAAACAGAATTTTTTTTGGGGGGAGAGGGCTACAGGGCATATATTACTTGCTAGGTCAAGGCGTAATAGTTGGTGCAAATGTGCCGTTCACCGCCGTAAAACCTAAGATAAGAAGGATAATCAATGTCAGTTCCGTGTCCACTGCAAAGAGATTTTACGAGTAAATTTTTACGGGTGTAACAGCACAGCCAGTTTCGTACAACACCACTGAATTCCCACAGATTAGGACTACCATCATGTGCCGTAAATTAATAGTACCCCCGGAACCATAAATAAACAAATAGCATGTGTAATAATTCCACATTCTTCGATGACAAGAAAAAATTTTTTCATGTAAATATCGTAAGCTGAAATGTAGATTTGACTTTATTACATAGAGCCAGATTTCTCTTAATGTAAATATTATAAGCCGAATATAGATTTGACTTCAATACATGGAATCAGAAGTGAATCTCGGAAAGTTTTCCTTCGCTAGAAGCATTAATATTAACGGGTAATCAGAGATAATTACCCTTTATTTTGCAGCTGTGCGACAAAAAATAGTGACACTAATGGGAAAGAGCAGAATGTGACGATACGGATAATAATGACATCATCATACCGAATTTTGCTCTGGGACTTCTGGTATCGTCTTATTTCTGCTCTTTCCCACTAGTGTCACTATTTTTCATCACACAGCAAAGCTCGTATCATGTAAAGATGCCGCCGCATATCTTATCTCTTTCCGATTGCCGCTAATATTATATATTAATGCTTTAGTGAAAAGGAAAACTTTTCATGAGCAAAAATGCTTTCAATCTATTTCAGCTTGCAACATTTATTATTACATGGGAAAAAAATTTTTTTCTGGTGATTAAGAATGTGGAACATTACACATGCTATTGGAGAATCCGGTGATGTTGTACAAAACTGGCATAAACATAACTGTCATGAAATGTGGCTGTGTTATACATTGCTATTTGCATAATAATAAGGTTGAAAAAACTCAACATGTCGATCAATTCAAATATTATTTTTCGTATCAACGGAGAAATAACAAAGCAAATGTCACGATGTTTCAAAAAAAAGTGAATATTGAGATAATTATAAGACACAGGTCATTTGTTTATTTGATAGAGTGTGTATCTTTTATGTGAGAGTTTATAACATCATACGATTTGATAGATCTTTTATGAATAATGACATCATCATACCATATTTGTTTGTTGATGGAACTTTCTATAAATATAAAGTGTTCATAACTGTTACTTATCAACCTGCGTTTTCATATTTCTAGAACATAGTAAGAATATTACACAATATATCATATTGTGTAAACATTTGAGCGAATTATTTACTGTTACTATTACTACATATTAAAATTAAACGTTTTTTAGATCTGATACGTGATGGTCAATCAAATAATTGTATAATATTGTTGGCATTCAACAACGTGCATTTTTAATTCGTTTGTAATAGTATTAATAAAATAATATACAAGTGCGTCTCGATATAACGACACGCTCGGTTTCAACTTAAATGGTCGTTATCAAAAATGTCCTTATATCGAGAACTCAACTTTATAACGGCAACAAAGCAAGTTCAACAAATTGTCATTATACAAAAAATTTTTTTCAATTTTATTGGATAAACTTTAGCTGTTAAAACTTAAGCGTCATTACTATTACAAGGATTAAAATTTATCAATCTTCGTTTTTTTTTTGAGTTTATTTTTTATACTGCTCTAAGCCCACTTAGTATTAATCACCGAACATTTCACAAAATATTTCAAATACAAAGAAGAATCGATTAAACGTTAGGGATTGTCAATTCTTATCCAATGTAATACAAATAATATGGTTATATTTAAAAATTATAATATACAAAAGCAGATAAAACAACAGATAAAACAACAGATAACTAAAAGATATAATCGTCTAACTTTTCTTTTAATTTGTAAAGCCTCTTTCTTTTCATTTCCCCTCCAAATCTCTGTTAAACCACCGTCACCACCTTCAATCAAATCTTCGATATCCCCAACTATCTTACTTGCGTAAGATAATTTTATTGGGTTAAGACTAGTATTTGCTTCTGTTTCTGCACATGGCTCAAATTTATTTTCGTTTTCGTCATTTCTGTGAGCCACCACAATACTGTACCAGCAACACGGAAATTATATATATAGACAAATCTGGCTAATGCTTGTACCGGTCTTCGATCTTAATTTACAAGCGTTTTGTGGCTTCTGTTTAGTTTTCTTCGTTATTATAAATAAATCCTTACCAATATTTGTTACGTAGTTTTACATTGAATAAATATAGTGCAACCTCCATGATAGACGGTTATATCCACTCCCCCATCTCCAGATTTCATTGTTATAATTAATAAATATTAAAATGAGTAATTGTATCATTATAATCAAGAATCATTTAAAGAACGTTCACAGCAGGCCGTCTACCTTACGCCAGGACTGGATACCTGACTGGTGACTTTCGCAAGCTGCGGCCACGGAGCGCTTTCGATTCAAATGATCAATGTATCCAATATTCACCACGCCCGGGAACTCCCTGACAGCTTCGTCGGATACGGAAATCAATATGTATATACACCAATTGTGTTTACTGAAACCCAATTTTACACCCAAGTAGCAGCGTACCTTCGGATACTACAATACGATATAATAATTTACAGATCGCGGCCGCGGTGCGCAATCAAAAAAGAAACCTCTCCTCAATGTATGCGCCAACTGTTCGGAAAAATGTCTTCCATCTCATTGCAATTACCAATAAGGTATTTGATATTTGACATTAAATCTAAAATGTGTATGCCTTGTAAATAACAGTATCTGTGCGGAAAGACTTTCCCCAAAAAACCACTGCATACGATTCATCATTAAACTAAAAATTTACCTTCTGATTATTTCGCTATACGCACAATTATTAATGTGACAGCCTTCTAAGCGTTGATTGTTCTTCGCCGCATACCCACCAATAAAACAACCACACGTTATATTTGTCATTTCACGCTAAATTTAGCTTCTAATTATCACACCATAGTCCATGCTACCGTGTAAGCATCGATTATTCGAGATCGGTTTCCAGACACTCCTTGACTTCTCAATTAATAAAAAGCTTTGTCCTAAAAATAACTACAACTTATTTATGTTAATATTACGCTTATCAATAAAAAAAACAAAGTGTGAAATAAAAATTAACGCACATCGTAGCCACCGTCATACAGCAAATCAAATTAATCAATCAATTCGTAATACTCTGCCAGTCAATAGTGGCAAGTGGCTAATCGCTGAGTCTACTGATTTCCAGGAAGGAATCTGTATGCCAACACAACTAACAAATGGAATTTAAAGCAAAACGAACTTGCCGCCTATAGTTCGATTACAGCAAGGTGCGCGAGTAATGTTTTAAACAATTTATTTATGAAATACGGCATATGTAATGGAACAATAGGGATAGTAACAGACATGGATGATGATAGAAAACCATTCAAGTTGCATTCTGTGTTTATGGTGCTATTGTAATAGTTCACAAATGGATAACTAGACAAATACACACTCCTACAATGGCGGTCAACGAGCTTCGAGAACGCAATTCCCATTGCAAAACTCATTTGCCTTAACAGTTCACAAAACACAAAACCTCACACTACCTCGCGTCTTCTTAGCATTTGACCAAACTTTACTCTCAGCAGGACAAGCTTATGTTGCCTTAAGTAGATGTCTTAAATGGAAACACATTTAAATTATTAGCTTACAAAGAGATGCTTTTAAGTCTGATCCTGAAGTAACTAAAGA